CCTGGGATCATGACCTGAGCCGAAGGCAGAGGCTCTAACCCACTGAGCCACTCAGGTGCCCCCCTTTTGGTTCTTTTATAAAGTCCTGTTGTTATTTTACAGACACTAAGTCTTCTCTTTATGAAGAATTTTTTTTTTTTTTTTAAAGTTTCTTCTCCCTGAAGTCTGTTTCAGGGAATGGTGAACTGTGGCCTGAGGCCTATATTTATAGGGCCCTCAAGCTAAAAATGGTTTTCAGATTTTTATAAAAGCATTAAAACAACAACAAAGAACGTGGGATGGCCAAATTCTCCATGGCCCACGAAGGCTGAACTATCGACCACGCCGCCCTTCACAGAGAAGTCTGCCAACCAGATCCATGTCCCCCACCCCCTCTCCCCACATCCGTCTCTCGTGTCGGAACCCGCTCCCTCCCATTCCCAGAGAGGGAGGGAGACTCCCTGAGTCTGCCCGGCCGGCTCATGGCGGGACGCAGGTTGGCACCCCCCAGGCTGTCACCAACCATCCAGCACGACCAGGCCAGCCTCCTGCCATGGGGAGGGCACAGGCCCCCGCCGAGCCGGCAGCACCCAGAAGCTCCCTGGCCCCCAGGAAGCCTCCTTGCCGTCTGCGCTCTAGAACTCAGCCCGGGCGCCTGGCCATGCGGAAAGGGACAGTAGGACCCGGCGCCACTGCTTAGTCCTCTTCCTGTGCGTCTCGCATTAACGAGGGTGGCTGGGCACCGAGTGGGGCGCTGGTGGTCCGTGACCTCCATGCGCGCATTTGTGACGTCTGGGCCGCAGCCCCTGTGGCAGGGCAGCCACGACAACTCCCAACAGGCAGCCACGCGCCCATTCCTGTGAGCAGTTTTAAATGTTTTCCGCAGTTTGACAAAGACGCAGTCATTACTATTCGTCAACGTCTGTGCTGAAGATGTCCCCTTCTCTGTTTCCACACTGGCGGTTGGTGACTTCCCACTTCCGTTCCGCTCTTCAAAGAGCTGCTCAAGGCCTGTTGCTCCTCTGCTCTCTCTTCACACTGCTGGGTTTGGCTGCTCCCGGGCCAGGATCTTCCTTCTCGGGCCGGTTCTCCACGCGTTCTCGGGCCTTTTCCGCAGCTCAGACGGTCACCCGCCTCCTAGCTTGACGTGTCGCATCTCCTCTGCGTTCTTTCTCCGTGGGGGCTCGTGCCACCGAGAAGCCGACCAAATGCCCCGGTCCCATCCGTGATCTGCACCCACATGTCCTGTTTCTGAATTTTCTCTGGTGAACCCATGGGTCACTTTAAGAATAAAACAATCCAGTAACTTAACATTTTGACACCTGAGCAGGATCTAGGCCCCAGCACGTGGGAAGTTGTCTGTACCCGCTGAGCGATCCGTGGCCATGGGGCCCTGGCGTGGCCAGCATGAGGCTGAGGTCGCTGTGCGGGCAGCTGGTCACACCCCGCGGGTGCGCAGTCAGCCAGCAGCTACCACCGTTACTTAAAGCACCGGTGACCCAAAAGCACGTGAGCCCGTCTGCGTGGTGACCCCCAGGCTGAGACGGAGGCTCAGACTTGACATCAGACAGGTGGGTCTGTGGTCCCCATAGGGGTGTCCTGCTGGCTATGCCCAAGGTGCCCATGGTCCTGACGCTCCCAGCGGCGCCAGCCATACGGACCCCTCCCCAAGGTCCCTGGGGCACTACTGCCAGGCGGGAAAGGGACACCACTGGTTCGCTTTCATGGGTCATCCGTGACCACTGTCCGGTAGCTACCGGGGGGTTGGGAGGGGGGTTCCTAGCTTCCTGTCGTGCCTCCGACAAGTGACCACACACAGTTCTGGGGGCCAGACGTCCCCAGACATGGGGCCGAAGCCAAGGAGCCAGCACGGCTGCATCCTCCTCGCACACATGGGCCATCCGAATCTGGCTGAGGCCCATGCCCAGCTTCTGGAGGCCGCCACGGCCCACAGTCCCTCTGCAGAGCCAGCTGGGCCATCGAGTCCCTCCTCCCGTCCTCTCTCGGACCCAGGCTTCCGCCTCCCTCTTCCGCTTCTAAGCATCACGTGCTTAGACGGGGCCCAGTGGACAAGCGAAGGAGGCCCCCATCTCTGAGCCCCTGACCTTCATCACACGTGCAGAGCCCCCAGCCGTGTGGGGTCAGACGGTGCAGGGCCTCCTGCCTGCAGGTGGGCACAGCTGTGGGACAGAAGCCTTCTGCAAGCTCTCGGGGCCCCAGAAGCCAGAGACCCTCGCCCGATCTGTCCGGCGCCCCCCTACCTGGATGAGCTGCGCCCGGGGCGTGGCCAGCAAGTTAAGTGTGCAGGAAAGCTTCCGGAAGAAGCGCTCCCCGGCCTCCCCGTGGCCAGCACTCCGCATCCACTCCAGGAGCTGCTGCAGGCGGGCGCAGGCCTGGACGCCGCGGGGCCAGTGGAAGCAGCTCAGAGAGGGGCCTGGAGCAGGGACACAAGGTCACACCTGATGCCCAGCAGCCCCTCCCAGATGGCGGGCATCCCACCTCCCCGACGCCTGTCCTCCCTGATGCAAAGCCTCTGAGAACAGGCCTGATAACCGAACACGGGTTTCCAAGGCCCCTAGCCTGCTTCTGGACACCCCTCTGGGAGGGAGGGCTGGAACACCCACAGAATCCCAAATGCAAAGACTATCGCACCTACAGCCGAGGACCCCTGCTCCCACCCAGATCCTGCCCATGGACCCCGACCAGCCCTGGAAGGTCACGCTGGTGATGTGCCATGGGTCTGCTGCACGGCATGGTCACGTCCCTGTGTCCCAATGGGGCCCCCTGGCTGGAAGGAACTGGCACCCCAAGACCCTGGCAGGGAGGAGAGCCAGGGGTGCAGAGGCCACGCCCCTTCTCTGAGCCTGTCCCTCCTCGCTCCCCGCTGGGGCTGTGTGGAGATAAAAGGAACCAGAAAAGGCCTGTGCAGGCCCCACCCCTACCCTGGGGCGGCTCTGCAGACCCTGCGGGACAGTACTGCTCCTGGAGGTACCGGCTCTGCCACAGAAGCTGCTCTCCTGGGCCTCGGCCTGCCACCTAGACCCCCAGGCAGTGAGACGCCTCAGCAGCCCCAGTGCCCGCCAACACCCACTTGGCTTCTCCCGCAGCAGGGGTAGGGGTCCCCAGCGCCCCCGGCCCTCACCCTTGTCCAGGAGCTGGTTGAAGAGCAGAGTGCTGGAGAAGAAAAAGAGGTAGGCCAGCACCTGCGAGGCGATCTCGGGGTGCACCCGGAACTGCCGCAGGAGGTCCATGGTGGCCTGGTACACGGACACGACATGGCGCAGCTCCTCAGGCAGATGGGGGGCGGAGCACCAGCTCTCCCTGCGCTCCGTCTGGAAAGGGGGGCACTCCAGCAGGGCCGGGAGGCAGACGTACAGGGACTGGGGGCGACAGGGAAACACCAGCTGCACACGAGGCCTTGCCTGGCCTGAGTACGCGTCCTGCCGGACACGCCCCAGCCGCCTAGGGCCAGCCCCGGGTAAAGGTGCAGAGGACACCCGGAGGGGCAGACAGCCCTGGCCAAAGGGCTGCCAGAAATGCCCCACAGGTCTGGGGGGGGAGGGGGCTGTGCCCATCCTGTTTTAGCAGACAGAAGAGTGGCCAGCAGGCAGCCAGCTGGTCTCTCGGTACCGGCGCACCCCTCCCGCGAAGCCGAGCCGGGCACGGCAGCCTGGGCGCCAAGGCAGCAGTCCTGGCGGAAGGCCAGGGGGACGGCAGGCACCCACACTCGTCTCGGGGGTGACAGGGCAGCATTGGCCGCTCCCCAGAAACAAGGTGAATGCACACCTCCCTGGGGAGTCCTTGCTGCCACCACCCCTCAAGGTGATCCTGGGACAATAGGTCAAGGGCCACGCGCATCCCCACTCGGACCCCTGGGCATGTGGACTGGGGGCTTCTCCCCATTTGGCCGAGACACTGAGGCTGTGTCCTCCTCAACACGGGGCTCCGCGCAGCTGGGAGCAACTGAGCACAGGGCTGCCTGACTCAACCACCTTAACCCCATCGCTTCTCCGAGCACTGTCCCCAGCGCACTGTCCCCAGCCAACCCTTCTTGCTTCCTGCTGGAGAGCAGCGGGGGCCAGGCTCCACACGCCCCAGCAAATCCATCCGAGTTCACACTCACTCTCGGCAAGTCCCCTGGGCTCCCCCAGTCAGGACCGCCTGCCACAGGGGCCCCTCCTCCCTCCACCTGCCTGACCCTCTCCGACCCGGAGGCTCCATCGCCCTCTCTGCTCACCGCAATGGCCACCAGTGCCCACGGAGGCCACGCTCCACCTTCCAAATCACTGCCCAGAGCCTCCAGCACCGCGGGCCCTGCACGGCTGGCGGCCTCCCAGGACAAGGGCGATGCGCACAGGAGGTTGAGGAGCTGGGAGCCAGCCATCGAGGGCACAGAGGCAGCCATTAGAGCCCCAAATCCTCGAGCAGTGGTGGGGCGAGCACCCATCTCCTTCCCGGCGCCCCGCCCCCAGCCTGGGTGGGGGGGCAGGAGGAGAACCCCCCGCCGCGTGGGAGCGAGCCAGCCACGCGCCGCACCTTGGAGACGTAGTACACGCACTGCTGGAAGGCATGCAGAATGACCTCCTCCAGCACCGCCATGGCCTCCTCGCTGGCCGTCAGCGCGCAGGAGAATAGCGACTCCCTGGAGCCTACGGGGAGACAGCAGCACACAGTCACCCCTGGAGTGCGCAGGCCATGTCCCCATCTGGGGTTTGGGGCCGCAAGAGCCAAAGCCACCCAGCCCGGCCGGCTGCCCCCCCCCCAGCCCGGCTGTCGCGCCTTCCCAGGGCCCTGTACTCCCAGGCCCAGCGATGCCAAAGCCATGAGAGGTGCATCCGCAGCTCGTTAGTGAGCAGACTCCGGACACGTTTTCTGCTGGAACCAGCAGCCCCGGCAAGAGCAGATTCTGACCCAGGTCCCCTGCAGCCACTTCTCACTCCACACACAGGTCAAAGGCACACTGGCCAGAGCTCCGAAGGAGACCGTCACTCCCCAGAACTGTGATGTTTCCGAGAAGACAGAAACCTAATGGCCTACGTGCCCTGTTCTCCCCCCAGCACCCGGGAGAGATCCCCGGAATCTCTACAGCCCCACGGAGGGAGGCAGCCTTGGTTCCATGCAGGTCCCCCAGAACCACAGGCCCAGGGGTGTCCACCTCCCCCATCAGGCTGGAGCTGAGCCTGGGCGGCTGGCAGGGAGGCTGCCCAGCAGGGTGACGGGGTGCCCGTGGATGCCCGCTGATTCCTTCCTTCTGGGAGGGGTTTCTGCAAAGGCAAGAACCCCGGGGGTGGGAGGGGGGACGGGGAATGTCCTGAAGGGCCCCCCCACCGACACGGGAGTCACGCAGCGCCCCAGCAGCACTCAGCCGGAGTGCCCACGGCCCGGTCTCCCGCCCGCTCGGCAACTCGCTTCGCTGCGGAGCCGCGGGCAGGCAGCCGGGACGCGTGTGTCCCACAGAGACGGGCGCTGCTCATCTTGCTACGGCCTTTTCATTCCCACGCAGCGCAGGTTCCACGGTCTCGGGCTCTCCTCCCAGTGCTGGGAGGGAGGCACTGGGTCTGACGGGCTCCAGGAACACAGAATGGAAACAGAGCCCCTCCCCCCGCAACATCTGGATGCACCACTGTTCAAGGCACTTCTCTTTGCAGGGCTCGGGTCTCTCCTGCCCCTGGGCCCACAGACCACCCCCGAAGGGCTCACTCCCCTGGAACCCGCCAGAGGCCTGCCCCACCTGCCCAGGGTCCTCCCCTGAGCCCGGCTATGGGGTCGCATTTGGGACCGACCCTGATGGGGTCTGGCTGCTCCCGGCAGCCCCACTGGCTTTCAGAGGAGAAGTAAATCAGGCAACGTTGGGGGTCCCATGGCTTGGGGGAGCAAGAGGCTCTTACTAGGCTGCTGGGTTGTAGCAACCCCAGGCTTTCAGAAGCACGCAAGGTGCCCACTGCTGACCACGGCCCCTGTAGATCAAACGTGACCCCCGGCCGACCGAAGCCAGCAGGACCCGGACCAAGGAACCAGTTCCGAACCCTCTCCCTGGAGCGGGGCCCAGACCAGGGGACCTCCAGGCGGCCAACTTGTCTGAGAAAGCCCACCTCTACCCCCCGCAGGGGCATGAGGGCTCTGGCAGAGGAGGGACGGCAGAAAGAGGCGGCGGCCAGGACTCTGCGGAACACAGCCATGGGGAGGCTCCCGGCAGATGCCACATGGGTCTCTCTGATGCCACGGGGAAAACCAGCTGAAACACTTGCTCCCGTGGTGCAGGCTCTGCTGGGTTGCTCCCAGATACAGGGTCCCTGTGCTCAGTTTCCGACCAAGCTGACACTCACAGAAGCCCTTTGGGGGTCAGGGGCCTGTACTTGAGGCCCCCAGATCCATAATGGCTAAGGCAAAGCCACGAAGGCACCCAGAGAGCTCTCCGTGGATAAAATGCCCCCACCCCTGCTGGGCCCACCTCCCGGCTGCCCGTGGGAGGGAGGCGTCCTGGGTAAGAGCTTGGAACAACCGAGATTGTTTGCGGAACGCAAAGGCGATTTTCCAGTATTCAGGACGTGACATCTGTTTTCAGAATTCTTCCCACAGAAATTTCCTGCTGAAGGTCAGGAGGCCGAGAGGCGACTCTAACCTGGCCTCTGGCCTCTGGCCTCTGCTGATGTGATGTTTCCTCCAAGCTCTCCAGCGCCTGCCCCACACAGGACACTGTTTGTGGGATGCCCGGGTCCTGCCACAGCTTCCCCGGCCCACACACTCCCCAGGGTGGACAGAGGCGGGGCCCCGGCCACGCAGCAGCTCTCTCTCCCAGCATCAGCCAGCCTAAACGACCTCCAGGGCCAGACCAAAAATAACTCCCTCCGAGAGCAGAGGCAGCAGCTACGGAAGTGGAGCCCCCACCAGCTCCAAGTAGCCCGTTTAACGCAGCCAGATGCGGGGTCCCTGTGCTCGGGCAGCAGGCCCGACGGGACCCAAAGACCACAGCCTCTCCGCAGAGCGTGTGAAACCAGGGCAGACGAGATGGGGCCGCGGGACTCACCCACCAACACTGTGCCCAGAAGCCACGGCAGCAGCAGTTCTCCCCGCTCACTCTGCTGCGGCCAGGATGGGGGGACTTGCTGTCAACACCCCCAACCTCAGAAGGGCCACAGGCGCTTGGAGACCAGCCAGAGGCCCAGTGCTCCCCGGCCAGCGCCACGTCCAGAAGAGGGGCCCCTCCGCTTGGAACCGCTGGAGGCCGCAAGGAGACAGGCTTCAGAAGAGGGAGGCCCGAGGTTCTGGAAGCACCAAGCTCGGGACAGCCCAGTGCCCTGGCTTTGGAGACGCACAGGGAAGACTGTTTATGTCATATTTGGGGGAAAAAACCAGGTAACGGGCTACTTCAGGCCCAGGCCTTGGGACAGAGCACATAGCAGCCTGTCCCGCGAGGTCTCACTGGACGCCTTGCACAACGTACACCCAAGGATAACAGGGATGGGGGCAATAGGTCAACAGGCCTAAATGCCCACTGGGACACAGAAGGTTCCAGTATATCCCTCTACATCTCCCCAGAAGCCCTAATTCCCAGGCCCCAGAAGCCCAAGGAAGTTCCCAATGTCCCTTTCACTTTGAGGTGGAGGATAAGAAAACACAAAGAAGCCATGACTGACGAGAAGGGACCCAGACACAGCGGCTGGCTCTGTGTCCCATCACCCCGACACGTCCCCACCAGGCCTCCTCCACTGGCTCCACGTGGCCCAGCACTGGCCCAGCTGGCCCTCCGGCCCACCCATCTGCAGAGCTCCCAGGCGGCTGAGCCAGCACACAGTAGGACAGCCTGCCCTGTGCAGACCACCGCTCCTCACCGTCAGTCACCAGGAGCCCCTCAGCTCTGGTAATCTAGCCCCTCCTGGGGGCTCAGCAGGGTCCCACACCACCTGGACAAGGTCCAGGGCCGGGTCCAGGGCCCCAGGCTATGTGCTCGGGGTTCTCCCACACGGAGCCCACGGCCACCCCCCGGGAGACACAGCTAAGCACACAGACGCCTAGCTGCGTCCGGCAGACTGAGCCCACAGGGGAGCCTTGGCCAGGCCCAGCCTGCCTGCCTGGCTTCCCTCCCAGCTCCGGGGGGAGCGGGGGGTGGGGGAGCAGCCTTCAGGGGCAGGGCCGCTGACCACGCCTGCCCAGGACCCCCCCACCACAGGGACAGAGGTGGGTGAGCGGCTCTGGTTTTGTTACAGGAGTGAAGGAGCTGGATCAAAACCCGGTTCACCCACGGAAGGCTGTGGCCCCGGCCCCTGGAGCCACCCCACCCTCCTTCCCCACTCGTTCCTGGGGCCACGAGGCAGACACGTGGCAACTGAAGTCACAGCCAGCCTCAGGGCCAGCTGAAGCCACGCTCTTCTGGAAGCCCCCACCTCTGGCTGCCCCAGGCAGTCTCTCCCAGTGCTGCCATCTCAGGTTCTGCGGGCACATTCCCTGCCACAGAGTCCCGAAGCCACCCAGCCCCTGGGGCACCGTGTCTCCTCTCAGAAACCCCAGAGCCCCCAGTAAGGGAGAGCCCGGGGCCGAGGCACCGCATGCTTTCTACCAGCCTCCCCCGGCGACACGCAGCGGAAGACACTGAGTGCATGACACAACAGGGGACACGAGGCTGGGTCTGCCTGACCGCCAGGGTCACCCCCTCTCAGAGGGACCTGGACACAGTGCCACCTCCCTTGGTTTGAGCAGCCGACTCCAGCCTGGGATGAAGAGGGGCCGGGCCACTGCCCCCCCCTGGGGGCCCCCCTGTCCCCACACTCGCCCCGGAGCGGCAGCCCGCACCTGTGACGTCCAACTCCTCCTCCAGACTCTGCATGTAGAGCGGGCACTTCTGCTGGATGAAGTAGAGCAGCTCCACCGAGTTGGACATCCAGAAGAGAATGTGCTGCAGGTCCGGGACCAGGCCCGCCATGGGGAAGCTGGCCAGGGACAGGGGCTCCTGGCTGCCAAGACAGAAGACCCAGAGTTAGTCCCGGACGGGCCTCCAGGAAGGGAGGCCAGATCAGCACTGTGCACACAAGGACGTTCGTTCCAACAGGACACCAGTGGGACCCCAGCAAACCCACCGCGGCCCAGCTGGGACAGGGGGTACACAGACAAGCCGCGGGACACGTGGGCTGGAGACGCACGCTCTCCAGACGGTGCAGGAAGGGCCACCAGGGGCCACAGCCCTTGGGAAAGGATGCTTGTAAACTCTTCTCGCATCTTCTCTTCTGGGACTGAGACAAGGAGGGAGCGTGGAGGAGCGCGTGGGTGTGTACGGGAGGGGGCGGCCGGCGGGCGGGAGCAGCAGCCCGAGTGTCAGGCTGTCGCTGACGCTAAACCAACAGCAAACGAACTGCTGTGGGAGGCGCGCGAGCAGGATTAGCTAAAAACTCCTGGTCGTAGTCGGAAGATGGTATGGAGACTCCGTGGGTCAGACAAGGCCCTGAGAGCGCGTCACTGGGAGACTTAGGGTTAACAGTCAGGAAACCAGAAGCTGCCCAATTCGGGCCTGGTGCTGCCTACACAAGCTCTTCACACGGACTCCCCTGGTAGGGCCGCACGTGTCGCTGCAGCTCGTTAAATCAGAAAGCTTCCAGGCACCGGGCACAGGGCTGGAATCTTCCCACCCCTCTGATGCCCATTACAAGCCTGGGCC